CCCTCTTTCACATGTCTGCCTCGGTTGCAGCTAGGCTAGAACAGCTCACGCGGAACTTCCTCTATTCGAGAGGGGGAAATTACACATATCATCTCATCTCTTGAGCCGAAGTGTGCTTACCAAAGGCCAAGGAGGCCTTGGTATTCTTAGCCTCGAAGTGAAAAATCTAGCTCTTCTTGGAAGGTGGTGGTGGCGCCATGCCACACGTGATAACCACCTCTGCAAAGACATCATCTATAGAAATATCATTGTGGCGTCTCAGCTTGGCTCCCTAACTGTAGGACTGGTGGTAGACCCTCGAACATTTGGAAATCCCTCCTCCGGAGCCTCAACCTCTTCCTCGCTAATATCTACTTCTACCCTCATGAAGGCAATAGGGTCCTCTTCTGGTTTGATCTCTGGATCGGACATTCTCCTTTGAGGGATCTTCTCCAAATTGTTCCTCTTAGCAATGTTCGAAAATTCGGCTGCCCGACCCCTTAGGCAAAAAAAATTTAAAAACGCTTAGCTGCAGTCTGGTTGGGGTCATTATGCGCCCTGCTTCTAGGCGCCCACTTAGGCGGTTAAGGTGCCGCCTAGGTGCTATTGGCTGGGCGCTCGCCTAAACGCCGCGTCGTGACAACTTGCGGGCGGGCGGAAAAAAAACCTCGGTTAGAGTAATTTTTCCTCCTAAAAAGTGGGGAAAAGGGTTTTAGGGGCTATTCTAAACCCCCAATAGAAAATCCATGGCCTTTAGGTTGAGAAAAACCAAATACCACTCTTTTGCGATTTATCGAAAGATCGATAAATTTTTTGCCTTTTCGATTTCTTCCCAAAACGAAGGCAATAGTTCTAGGGTGGATTTGGAGCTTCCAGTAGTTGATTTTGAGAACTTTTGGCGATCCAATAGATGAGGTTTGCACTGACATCGACTTGATTTTGATAATTTTAAAATATTATCATATTTTAAAGAGGGTATTGATTTTATTTTGCTACAACATATTATGTTATGAATCATGTGTTTTTTCTTTTACTTTTTTTTTTTTTAATGATATATTTACATGTTTGTATTTAAAAGATTGATTTTTTTGATGATTAATTGAATTTGTTTCTCACCTGGACAATGTTTGGGGTGGGGGAGAGGGGTTTGATTTTGTTGAGGGCACCCTGTCTCTGGGCACCCGCCTAGGCGGCCAGGCACCCAAACCACCTAGGCGCTCGAATCCGTCTTTTTGAACATTGCCTCTTAGAATGTTTTCCCGTCGCAACTGTGGCCAACCACTTTGAGAATTTGGGCCTTGCCAATGTTTAGATCCCCAACTTCAGGGGGCCTATTGATGACCACGAGATGGATTTCTCAGTCTTGTCAACCCTCATCCATTCAATCTTCCTCCCACCCCAACGTGCCAACAAGATAATTTGTCCCCTGTCCCATCAGGTGTTTTCTCGGTAGCCTCCTTCTACTGCAAAATAACCTCACACCAAACCTTGCCTGCAGCACCTTCCTTTATAGCTGCTAAAGTCTGTTTCCCTGTTGTCCCTCCCAAGATCCAAGTCTACAATTGGATTTCCCTATCTGAGAGAGCCTTGACGGTCTACCAGCTCTAAAGATGAGGTCTTCCGATGCCCAATAGATGTGTCATGTGTGCTAGGCAGGAAGAAACAAATGCACACCGTTTCCTTCCTTGCGACTTGGCCAGATCCATTTGGGTAGACCTTCTACAACTTTTCAATTGGTTATGAGTATCCCTAAGGTCAGTCCCACACCTCTTCACAGCCTTTCTCTCTCCTCTGTCCAAATCCGGCTTACTCCTATGGCGGGCTTCAGTGGTGGCCATGTTGTGGGCCAACTGGAGTGAAAGAAACAGCAGGCCATTCTGTGGGAAGAAGGCAACACTCGTCACCTTGAAGGAGAGGGTTCTTACATTGGTCATCTTTTGGACCAAAAACTACAAAGTCTTCAAACACTTCTCTTAGACCTACTTTCACCAAGACTAGCAAGCGATGCTATACCTGAGGCCTGAGGTCAACTAGAATCCCTCGATCCGCTCTGTGTAGACTGCCCAAACCCGGCCAAGCCACGCTAAGCTTCGACAGTTGTTCCTTCAGCAATCTGGGACCCTCAAGCATAGGGGGTATCTTTAGGGACAAGGATGCCCTCGGCCTCAGGAACTTTAATCCTGGTTGGGGACTTGATTTGGTCATTGAGGGAGATTCCAAACTTCTCACAGCCTGGGTCCTCACGCTACCCCTAGAGAGTTGACCATATTTTTTACGAAATTTTCCACTTCTGCAGAGCTATGGCCGTCTCATGGAGTCATATTTGGAGAGAAACCAATGCAGCATGAAACACCCTCTCTAAGGAGGGAGGAGCACAAGACTCTATCTAGGGGATATTTGGCAACTTTTTGAGCTCTTAGACCCCACTTTTTTATCTAGTTTTCTTTTTGTGAATGTAGAACATTTTTTGAACCCCTTTGCGGGTATTTGTACTGAGCACCCCACTTGTGTGGGCTGCCTAAATTCTTGTAATACACTTTGCACCTTAATACAACAGTTAGCACGTTAAAGAAAAATGCTCAAGGACTTTGAAGGTCTTTGCATAATCTAAATTTTTAGCCAAGTCTGACAAACATTAACCCCTATCAAGAATAAGGATTCTCACTCGCATTCTACTATGTTTTTGCCTCAGTATATGTTCTATCATTGCCTTCTCATCTTACTTCACATCACATGCAGTTAGGTCATCACAAAGATTCATCTGCTGAGCAACAAATTGCCATGTGCATCTTGCTTCAGTACTCCCTACTTCACTTCATATTCCTCTTCAGTGTCTTCTATGCTGTAATAGGATTGACTACAACATGAATATGAGGTCACGTCTCAACAACAGATCTTGGGTTTTCTGTCCCCAGCATTTGCTTCCATTTTGTAGTCCATCCACGTTACTACAAAAGACTTGATTTATTGGGATATATATACGTTGACATAATTGCCTCCCACTGGAGCAGCCTACTATTCTACCCAAAGCCTCTTTTTTTATCTTTTAATGTTATTCTAGCTTCAAAAAAAAAATAACGGAAAAAGAAATCTTGCATGCACTTCTTGAACTGAGCCCAATCCTTTACCAACGATCTACCAGCCTTATAAATTTCTTAAAATTGCAAAAGATAAGTAAAAAGAAGCATGTTTTTATTGATGGCAGCGTTACACACCCCCCTCCCCCTGCCCCCAGAAAAATAAAAAATGAGGCCCCAAAAAAGTTCAGATTACTTTTTAAGTGATTAAATCTGGAAACTCATAGAAATCCTGAAATTTGAAACTTATTACTCTGATACCAGTGTTATTAGGATTGGACCAGTAGATGGACTGGTAAGGGCTTCGGTGTCGTCCAAGCCTGTTCGACGGATCCTATTTTTTATTTTATAGAAAAAAACAAAAAGTATTAAAATCTTTTAAAACAGAGAAAAATATTAAAAGAAGAGAAGTCTGTAAAAACTGAAAAGTAATAATGCTAAGGATATATGTTGAGTTACTAGATTACTAGATAGTAGAGAAACTATCAAAAACTTTATGAATAGAGAACATGCTGAAAAATGGGATTACAAGTTGGATGAGCATTTGGGTTTCAATCGGCCAGAAAAAGGGCTTTGTTTAATCCAGATTTGGTGGGGCTTGGGAACTTGGCCATAATGTTTTGGCCCAAACTTGCAAGATATCTGGACAAATTTGCTGAATATTGGCTGGGAAAAATGGGTGGCTCTGGGCTTTCAATGCGTTAGAAAATTGCTGGAATTGGATTAATGTATCAGTCAGGGTTTTCTGTAGGTTGGAATCTTGGAGCAGTATCTTGGCCAATCTTGGAATAAACATCAGTGAAATATTCAAGATCTATTAAAGGATACCCGTTCTTTGCTATACCATTTAATTCCTTGATATTTAACTTGTATCCAATGCATGTCAACACCAGTGTCATCAGAACTAAAGAAGTGCTCGATTTTTTGCGGTTGAACTGGTTGGATCTGGTTGTCTATTTTTAAATATTTTAAAAAATTGAAAAGATTGGACCCTGGGGGGAGAGGGTGGAGTACTTTCATTTGACAATATAGTCACACATTCTGCATGACCAGTGACTTGAGGTTTCCCAACAACTGTAAATACCGTATTAATCTCATAGATTTCAATAAAGTAGCTATGAATAGTTGCTGCTGTGAGCTTGAAATGTTCAAGGCAAAGGGATCTTTACAAAAAAAAATTGGAACATATTTTTCCAAATAGATAATTATGAAAAAGAAAAACAGTTGTGGGTCATAGATTTCAATAAAGTAGCTATGAATAGTTGCTGCTTCGAGCTTGAAATGTTAAAGGCAAAGGGATCTTTACAAAAAAACCTTGGAACATATTTTGCCAAATAGATAATTATGAAAAAGATAAGCAGTTGTGGGTCGTCTTTACTGATCGCTTTCACTTTGGATGACGAACTGGCTGGTTCAATCCAGCGACGGATTTTTGATGATTCTGACTGGTTTTGATCCTCTTTTGGGTCGAACCTGATCAAGCTGGTTTTAGTATTGACTCCTGTCAGATCCAGTCGGATCTTACCATCTAACAATGGTTCTGATAACACTGCTCAAAACTTGTTCAGTGTAGCATGTTCAATTTTTTAATGTATAAATATAAAACATGTTTTATATATCCGATATAAAACATGTTATATCTATCAAATAAATACTCTCATATGCTTATATGACATGTTCATAGGTACTATGTTAGCTGAGTTTAGTTGATTGGCTTTCTGAAATTAAATTATATTACTGCCTTTATCACATTATTAGAAATAGCTTCTGGTGAAGCCATCTTTGTTTCATATAGCTGCAATCTGTCTCCATGATGGAAAAATTAGCTGGTTATGATTTTTTTTATTATTTCATTTATGAGGACTTCTTTTGGCTCTGAGTTCTTAAAGATAGTATTTTGACTTAGATTTTGTTCCCTCAGATTTTCTATGATTTATTGTACAGGTGGACACTGCAGGTTGGTTGGACAGAACAAAGCAAGAAAGAGGACTATCATCCTTGAGTGTTATGCAGGCGAGAAAGAATCTTATGAGAGCTCATGTGGTTGCCTTGGTACTTGATGGCGAAGAGGTACAGCACTTTGTCCTGTTAATGTGGAGCTGAATTCATATTTTCTTTCCTTAAATATTAATTTGGATTTGGAATCTTCTTTACCACTTGCCATTATGTTTAATCTACTGCGTAAGTTGTATATCATAACCTTTAAGTTGTATATCATAACCTTTTCTCAGCTTGTTTGGTTGTCGAGTTCCTGTTTTACAGTCATTGCAGCAGATAGTTTAATTTTCATTTTTTACCCTACTTAAGATCCCTAATTGGTTGTGGTGAGCCCTGCTCAATCTTAAAGTATGACGAAGGTCCAATGGAGGGCATACATGGGTTCTTTTCAAATTTTGAACTCAAGTTAATTTGAGTCTATGACAACTAGGGAAACAGATAGGTTATAATTTGCAATTGACATTTTTCTTTCCTTTTTGGATAATTGGCAACAGGTCTATGTTCTAGCATACATTATGAAATATTATAGTAGTGTTCTTTACAAAGTCATTAATGACCGATGGAGAGCTGTCACCATTTGGTTGCCTCCTGGGAAACCTCTCCAAATGTTGACATGATTGCACACTAGGATTAGTATGACCACGATTGACAATGTATATCAGACTTTCCCGTTGCTACTACATTTGTGGTGGACTATAGGATGCAATTGCCCCTCAATAGGTTAGCTTTCATTCTCCCTTTGATGGATATAATTCTCTTAAGAAAATGATAACTGAAAACATAGTAGCCTTGTCCATTGATTCAAAAAGTGATCTGCCCAGCGCCTAGGCGGGATGGGGGTCTTGGGTGGACCAACTAGGCATACTGTCCCTAGGCGGCCGCCTAGGGTACCTGGGCGGGCGCCCAGAGGACTGCGCCTGACTAGGTGAAAAAATACCCATCAGGTGGGGTATTTTGGTGTTTTTCGTTTTGTTTGGATAATAAAAATGCATATTTTGTACAAATGTGTACCTAAAACAGGGTTACTTGACACCATTTGCCCCCTTTTTAACCTAGGTCGCTCAGCTTTTAGGCGACCGCCTAGGCGCTGGGCGGCCTAACCCCCCCCGGCCGCCTTAGCTGCCGCCCGGCATTTTTTGGAACACTGGCCTTATGAGCAATAAAATGCAGTGGCATACTCCCTCAGCCTCATCACCTGTTTGTACTAGCTTATTTGATATCAATTTGCATCCCTAGGCACTTGATCTAAATCTTAAAGAAAATTTTTTTAAAGAAAATTATCGATTTCTATTTAAATCCTCCCGTCTTCGTGGAACTGACAAGCCAGCTGTAAGCTATTGGTTTACATTCAAGGAATTATGTTTTATGATCCTTTAGTCCTTCGAAATTGATTTCTGAATTTGTTACTTTTGTTCTAATGTCCTTGATCCTATGAATGCTGCATTTGCTTTGGAATATTGAATCCTTGTTTGGGGACTTCTTGTGTCTGTCTGTAGGAATTTATGACACCCCAAAACCAGCCAACCCTTATTAAAGTGCCTGAAGATACCTTACCTTAGTTCAAGAAAAATATTTTCGAGGTGATGACCTCTAAAATACGGAAATTTGAAGTCTGTACCCTAGGTCCTACAGATTACTTCGACTTATAATTTGAATTTCAGGGTTAAGATACCAAGAAAATTGTAGGGTTAATATTTAAGATGTAGTTCTCATCAGTGGTACATGAAGGTTCCCTGAGGTATGTACATTAAAATAAATACCATTAAAATTTGTGTGCATATTGAATGGAATAACCCGTCATAAAAACTTCCTCATATGAAGCCAGTTATTTTTTCCCTACGCCAGTTAAAGAATAAAACTACCTCTATAGTTTCTATTTTCCTTGTGGTTCCTTGTAAGATTCTTTCCATGATATGATGCACACATGACAGTAAAATTTGTAGTTCCCGGTCACTCTTGTTTCAACTCATATCCTTTTAGAGCATTTTCATGGCAGCTGTTTGTTTGTTTTTTTTTACTGCAAATCTGTTCAGATAGCAAAAGCTAAAAGCAGTATGCGGCATGCTGAAGTTGTCATTGCGCGACGTGCAGTGGAAGAAGGTCGTGGGTTAGTTGTTGTGGTGAACAAGATGGATCTTCTAAGAGGGAGACAGAATACAAAGTTATATGAAAAAGTTATAAAAGCTGTTCTTGAAGAAATCCAAACTCTTCTGCCTGAGGTCCGTTGTGCTTATTGCATTGATTCATGTTACTTCATTATTTTGTTATAATTTTTCCTCAAGGATGATGCAACATACGGGTTTGGATTTTGGAATTACATTTAAGAAATCCATATGATTGTTTGCAACTATCCACATCACGTAAAAGTTGTATTTGTAAGGACTTCTAAGTGTTTTGAAATTGAACTCACTAGTTGCCCAGTGCAAGTCCATTTGGTGAGTTCCAACTGGACTCTTCAGGTCTTGCCCGATCCAGGGGAGTTTGCCACAAGCATATCCTGAAAAAGGGGAAATTCAGGAAAAACCATAAAAGAAAAAAAATGAAAAATCATAAAAAATATTAAGAATGGCTATATACAAAGTTAATTGGTGAAAAGTTGATTTTATAGGCATGCACTCAATGAAATTTTTGGCCAAATATATTTCGCTATTCAAAATCTTGCAAATCTGAGATTTTGAATTTTTTTTGGATTTTAACTAATCATTGATTTGATAGATGACACAAAAATAAGCTCTGGGAAGCAATTTTAGGGTGGATCAAGCTAGGAGATCAAGCTGGGAATGCAAAAATTTCTAAAGAAATCAATCTCTCTTGTACTCATAGTGAGCAAAGTATTGTGTTACTACTTTGGTGACATTTTCGCTGTTTGTTGTGGAAGTGAATGAACTGGACACAAATTACTATGGGTTTAAAAATGTTAGCATGGACATCAGAAACATATAACCCATGAAGCTTGCAGTTTGTACAGATGCTATGCTGCTATTACATACTAGCTTGTGATGTCTAAGATTCCAATTATGTACAATTTGAATTTGGTTCTGGGAATTTACATATGTCTTTGTTTGATTAAGATTTTTTAAGCTTCTTGTTGGTTTTTGGTTTATTTATGTTGTAGAGGGAGTGTACTGCATATAAATAATGTGTTCTTCAGAAGTTTCACTTGCTGCCATATGCTGTCCATTTATGGAACAGAGTGGAGAGAAACCATTTTATGGATATGGCAGATTTTGGGCAGAGCCATGTCTGTGCGATGGTCCTTCTCCACTATCTTCTGAATGGAAGAAGACAACATGCTTGTGTTCCTACTAACGTGCATTTATTTTATTTTTTTGAGAGAAGGTTACATTTATATAAAGCATTTTTTGCTCTATTTATATGCATGGTCATAGGTGGCAGACCTGAAAATTGACTTCGTGAGCTTCCTATAAGTTTGACTTGTCACTGAACCAACTGAATTAGATCATGAAAGAAACATCGAATATTTTCATAAATAAGAAAATAAAACATATTACAAAAAATAAGAGTTTGATGTCCTTGTATTTCCAGGTTACCTTTATCATCATGTACTCGGTGCCTGGAAATAGAAACTTGCAATTTGGTTAACATATTTATGTATTTTATTAAAATGTAGGATCAACCCACAACATTTGAACGTATTTCTTATTTACTATTATGATAGAGCAAAGGTAACTCTGAGTGCAATAAATTCATATATTGAATATGTTTAAATCACTATTTTATTATTTTATAAAAGAGTTAAAACCAGTGTTTCGAGACCCGGCAGAGTCTACTGAGCCGAGTCAACTTATACCCAGCTTGTGCCGAGGCAAGTTGTACTGAGTACCTCAGTACAACTCATTAAGGAATAAAAGGGGGGGTTGTCCCCCTCTTTCTCTCTCTGTACCAGGTAGGAGCTCTCTCTCTCAATCCGTAACCATGACTCTTTCTCTATCTCTCCCCCTCTCCCTCTCTCCCTCCCTATTGCTCTTTCTTTCTCCCTCTCTATTTCTCTCTCTCTAAAAGGGGGCAGAAGTTTTACCCTTTTGTCATCTCTCTGGAGAGAGATCTGCGAGAGAGAGAGAGAGAGAGAGAGAGAGAAAGAGATTGTGAGGGTGAGAGAGATCCAAAAGACACTGAAGAAAGAGATCGTTGTTTTTTTTTTTTTTTTTTTGTGGTGTAGGGGAGGAGAAACCAAAGAGAGACGTAGCCAAACCCATTGGTCACGTTGCCAGGGCCCCCTCTCTGCGGTCCAAATGGCCAAAGCCTCTACTCTTTTTGATTTTTTGATTGATGTCCTTTGCTCGAGCTGATTTTGAAAACACTGGTCGAATGCATCATGGATTGGGTTGAAACATCATGTTGATGAACATCCACCCTATGCAGCTCAACTCAATGTGGCAGTATGGCTATGTATTGAATGCACAGCAAAAGCTTGGTTTAAATATTTGGTCACAAAAACATTTCTTTTGTTGATTTTCTGATTGGTATCAAATTTAAACATATTTTAACATTTTTGCCACGATGTTTGTGCCCAGGTTACAGGTATACCTGTTGTATTTGTGTCGGCATTAGAAGGAAGGGGAAGAACAACCATAATGAAGAGGGTTGTGGAGATATATGAGAAGTGGTGTCTAAGGTTGCCAACTGCACGCCTTAACTGTTGGTTACGCAAGGTAAGGCTAGATGGCTAATTTTGTCATGGACAATCATTTTAACCTTTGCCATTATCATCCATTTTTGAACTTTGTGCCTTCTGAATTTGCATTGATTCAAAAAATTCCTTGTTGAAATGTCTAATCTAGTGGTAATCCTAGTAATGACAAGGATGCCCTGGTTCTGCAAGTGTAGGTTATGAGTAGGCATTCATGGAAAGACCAAGCTGCTCAACCCAAGATCAAGTATTTCACCCAAGTCAAAGCTCGGCCACCGACATTTGTAGCCTTTGTAAGTGGGTCAACAGAGCTTGCTGGCACAGAGATAAGGTTCTTTGCGAAGTCTTTGAAAGAAGATTTTAATTTGGGTGGTATTCCCATCCGCATTACACAAAGGTGTGTTCCTCGAAATAGGGATCGTTCCCTTCAAAAGTCCTCATCAGCAAAGGCAAATACAAAATCAAACACCAAAACTCAATGTAGTTTTACTTCTGACAAGAGAATGTTGTCATGTGACTAGTAAATGTTGGATTTCTTTCATTCAACCCATAAAGATGGTATGGAGAGTTAGAGCAACTCTATAGTGGCCACTTTCTCCTTTCAGATGGGTGGGTGAGGTTCATATCCACAATATAATATGTGCAACAAGTGTGTGCAATCCAACTATGGGTTGGACACTAATAGAAACTCTACACTCATCCGTTTGGCATTTGTGCAATGAAACAAGCTTCTATCTATTGTTCCCACATTTGAAGCGAGTTAATATCAACCTTGTCTTTGAAGGCCCAGGGAAGCAAGATGCAGAGCATTGGGGTGTTCAGAATTTTTTGGCTTTGCTGAGGAGCTTGGTTGTACATATCCTAAACTTTTTGTTTGGAATAGAGCTAATCAAATGCAATTGGTTCTCAAGGAGTTTCAGTTCTCAATCACTTCAACGATCATAAGGTGGTCTTTTTTATCCGATTTTTTTTTTGCACACTGGAAGTTTTCCATAGAAGATACGCTAATTTATTTCGACTAGAATGAAAGTTTTTCAAATAGTGTACATACACATTTTAACAATGGGCCAAGTAAGAAATCAAATTTGACTACTACAACCAAAAGTTGGAAATGGTCTCAGATGCTATAACCTTGATATTTCGTTGGTGACTTGTGTAGATTGTGATAAAGGTGGGAAAAGGGAAAATTGGGCGCACCTCTTTATGGGAATGCTTCTATTAATTTGCACGCTTTAATGGAACTTTTGTTCTTTGGGCATTTGAAACCTTTGCTTCCATATCAAGGCCAATAAATGGTATGCATTTTGATATCATGGATAAGACCCGGCTCACTAACTACCAAGTCCTAATAGAGCACGTGGGCAAACATTGAGGCTTAGTTCACAGATCCAAGGATGGACCCGGACTCATTTGGATCGCATGATCTATGAATCTGTAAATTGGCGCGGCTCAATTAGCTAGGAATGTCAAAATTTGGAGGCCTCTCTGGGATAATTGAAGTGCGCATGAGACGGAGGGCATGGGATTTGTAGGAGAGATGATTGGGGTTGAAGATTCATTTCCAGAAAATAAAATTTTCACCTATTTCATTTGATGATCTTTTTCCCAAAAAAGGTAGATGCAGAGGAGTCGAGAAATTTTTTTTTTTCCCAATTTGAAAGTCAATGATGGGAGATTACTCACTTCTAGGGAAGAATTTCATGTGAAAGGCCCAAACATGCTATTAGAGAAAACAATTAAAATTTAAAATCCTTTAAAGTAAGAAAAAAATAAAAGAAATCTCCTTTGCTAGGTAATGGCGATTTTATATCAAACGTTACTTGATTTATAGGTTATCACCATTTTAGCTTTTTCCTCGAAATCATTTCGCACGGTAAATGCCTAGCATTAGCATTCAAGTTGTGATGGCATAATGAACCCCTTTCCTTCTAGTTCTTTAATTCTTCATTTTCTTTGTTGATTGGTTTACTTTGAAAGGGAATTTGATTGTTTAGAGCCTAGGTTCTATATATATATATATATATAAATTTTGAATTGGCTTCTATACTCATGCCATTTATCTGTCTCATTATTTCATCGTTGTCATGCACTTTTTCTAACTTCTTAACATCTTTCATAATCTTTATTATAGAAGACTTACCCTGAATTTTATTTGTCATCTTGAATGCAGGTGGGATTCGAGGTACGATTTCTTTTTCTCCTATAGTAAAAATTATCAAATCACTAGTGATTGTTTAAAGGTTAATTCAAATTATCGAATCTCTAGTGATTGTTTAAAGGCTAATTTCGTTTAAGGTTATATAACTGATTCCTACCTAGTATCCTCCATCTTCAATGTTAACAAAATTTACCAAGATTATTTTTCTCCAATTTTTACTGGGAAATTTATGGAAAATTCCATCGATTTTCTTATGCCATTCATGGCATCTACCTCTTGGCCTTGTGAATATTTCACCCAAATTTTCTACAATTTCTTAGTTAAAAATTTGTGTTAGCAACTGTGTCAAGAAACAGTTTTCCAATTTTCTCCTCCATTCGCAATTTTTGCTGGTACTAACAAAAGATATTTTAATGCACCATTTTTCTAATTTGATACCTATTTTCTTTTGAAATCTCTTCATATAATTAATTTGGACCATGATATATTTAATTACTGCCATTATTTCTAATTATTATATTGCTATT